TCAAAGTAGCACAGAAACCTGGTTTGGTCAAAACCAATCCTCTCTACACGGCGATGAAGAGGCAAAGCAAACGTCGATCAAAGTAATTTTTGGAGTTAAAATTGTCCGGATAGCGGTCTATCCATATTGTTTAGATATTCCTATCATCGTCGATTCCCGCTAAAGTCGGAGCCTACTGAAGAGCTCTCGTCACCTTGTGACTCTGTTGCAAGCGAGCAGGATAGCTCTGATGATGAATCGTCTGGTATTCCTGCTTGGGCAGACACTAACAAGCAGAGCTTGGTTACGGGAATTTATTGCAGCGCAGATGACGCGAGGTGAGTAAAAAATGCACGTCTTTTTCGGTCGTTCATTGCAATTACATTCCTTTTTGTTTGAAGTGGATACACAATCTGCATATCTCTTTCTTTGCGCAAAATCATCAGATGGATTTTGAGAGATGAAATTTGAGCTTACGCTTTTTACGATGTCCTTTACACTGCCAGCATTCTTTTTCCTTCTTCGTGTAGCCTAGTTCAGCATTGTTATAAAATCCTTTTTCAGTTATCACTTTGGAGCGGCCACCCCATGCAACTCAAGTGATGATGAAAATCTTGTGTGTAGCCCGTTCACACCTATCAAGGTATGCTCACTTTATGAATAATTGCCTTTCATCCAACCTCTGTTGAATTGCATTATCTTTGCTGTCTCCACAGCTATGCAGCTATGGCTCTTGTAGGTGTTATTTTAACACATTCACGACAATACGAGCCACCGGTGGTCGTATGTGTTCTGTCATTTCGGACAATACGAGCCACCGTTGGTCGTAGAAATTCCACTTTCCGAATTTTTGATTTTTCTAGCTCACGATTGAACATTTTGGGCAGACTGAATAAACTTCTGTATACATACCTTGGACTAGTTTTTGAAAGATTAACAGCTCACACTATAGGACTTACTAGTAGCCAGGAAATATTACGCAAACTCTGTAATGCAAAATATACCTTAGTCCGTTATGGCAGTCGTCAAAAAATCGGCTTTGTCGAGAATGTGTCATTTTTTTTTCGAATTATTGTCCTTATAGGTGGTCTCGCCATGTACGAACTGCTCTTGGCCTAGCGCGCCAGCAGAACAAATCCCAGAGGATGTTTTCAATCAAATCTTCCAACCCAGCAGGTATGGTGTCGGCTGAATTATGCATCATTATGCATTTCATTTACCACCAATATATGCACCGATTTTCTGTGATTTTTATGGTTTTTACGCTCGAAAATATTGCTGCGCTTATCTCTTTTTCTTGTTTCGTCATCTTTCTTTTGATGGTAATGCGCGCCTTGTTGATTATCGTGAGAAATTCAGTGCAGCCTTTTAGCTCGTTGTCAGTTGATGAAGGGCTAGCTTTATGCAGCTAGTTAGGTTTGACCTGTTGATACGAGAAATTTCATTTCAGCACATCCCGAGTGCCACCAACGGCTAGTCAAGAGGAGCGCCAGCGTGATTATAATTGCTACTACAACCCCACATTACGGGAAGACCCTTACTATATGTCCTACCATAGTAGGCGGTTTGGAGAGAAGCGCCGTTCAAGTTATCCCCCTAGCATCAAAATACCTGCAAGTCCGGAGCAGCCGGGCAGCCAGGAGACCGTAAGTGTTTTTAAGTGTAGCATTTACCTTTAAAATGCTGTTCTTCAGATTCCCGCCACAACATCGCCTCCTCCCGAACTTGAAGAACATCGGAGGCGAATTCCTGAAGCAGATCCCACCGTGACCATGACACGAACGACAGGAGAATTTGACTCGAAGGATAAGGTGTGTTAGAGTCTCATTGTAATTTACCGTCTCGTGTGACACCCTCTCATTTCCTGTTTTTAGCCCGATGTCCAGGTCCGCTCAAAGAGACGGTCAAGAAAGTTAAAAGGAAGTATTGAATGGCCTGATCTGGATTTGCTAGACATGGCATATCTGTCTACGACTATGGGGGTTTGTTCTACATCATCTCATAGCTCTTAACAGTATCTAGTTATTTATTTCTTTATTTTCCCACCAATGCTGTCTGTTCAGGAAGAAATGGAAGCCAGAGTATCCCCATGTCGCGTTACACCCATATGCGATAGTGACTCGGATGATGAGTTGGAGGAACAGATCGCGTCACTCGATGTTGATGAAACGAGAGCCATTGGTATGTCCTCACGGAACTTGCACCATATTCGAACTAAACTCTCATTATAGGGGAGGGTCCATCCGGATTGGGCCAGTTCCTTAGTCAATATGAGACCCATCTTGGCCAAGGGCCATCTTTTGATGCGATGGATGTGGATGAATCAGTTGGTGGCGTTACATCCGATAACATCAACCTGTTGTCTCCACCAGCAAGCAATGAAAGGCCTGAGGC